TCGGGGTATTCCGTTCGAAGCTCGAGCAAAGTAGCAAGCCTCTTGATCTCCTCGTCTGTTAGAGCCTCTAGAAGATTTTCCAGTTCGCTCCTTTTATCTATGGACCCGTAGTTAGACAAGGCTAATACTGTTAGTTTTTCCTTGAAATAACGCAATGCTGTCCGCTGGAGGTTTGCAAGCTTGGCACAATGTCGATCATATGCTTCTGCTCGACTATGTTGAGCCCCTGTCTGATCATCTATAGTGAAGTGAACGTAATGACTCAATAGAGAATATTGATCACGAAGTAAACCGTTTTCTTCGTCGTTAAACATGGGCGAAAGCCGTAGAGCAGGCAAGATATGTAGGTCCTGAAGTAAAGTGTTGACGTATCGCCTTGTTGGAAGCTGACTCAATAAGTCGGAAATAAATTCAACGAATCGTTCGCAATAAATGACATGTTCTTCCTTTCTTTTCTCGTCGTAGAGCAAGCGTAGGAAGTCCAATGTCAAAGTATAAAGCCAGGCTCTCTCAAATCGCAACCGGGCCTTGGTTGCATCATCTGCCGAGTCGTACCTTTTGCCTGCCGCCTTCCAGGCTTTTCTGAGCTGTGCATTTTGCCCCAATTTATTTTCTCGTTTCGACTCGGTAGAGAGATTGTGCCATATGCCTATAGAAACCAACGGGGCACATTCCTTTCTTACACTTGCCCAATCAAGGCTCTGAAAAGCGTATATGGTAAAGCAAAGCAGGTGGGTTCGTATCGGTAGAGATAGCGTCTGGTTAAGGGTCATAGAGAGCACGCGGGTAAAAAAACCCGAGAACTCGGCTGGACGGTCTTCGAAGATGCTCCATGTCTCGAGTCTTTCCCTTGCTTTGACGTTTGTAATCAGGACTATTAGGAGGACGTGGAAATCAGAGGAGTCTTCGGAATAGCCAGGCCAAAGGTAGCTTTCGAGGGTCTGTAATCCTTCTAGTACAAGCAATAGCCTGTAGGGGAAACTATCTTTCTCGAGCACATCCCAAATATCACGTTTCAGTACCTCGTTCTTGACCTTAACCCTCTTGGCTCGCTTAGTCGTCTTCAGCCAGTGCTGCCTTGCCAGCTGGGCGAACTCGCTCTCGCCCTCCAAGTCGGCAATGGTTGGTCGCGGTTCGGTACCGCGCGACTTGGATTTTGCATCGCTTTTCAATCTTTTCGCGGTCGGCATGGCTGATAAATTACCCTGGCGGTATGCCGAGGAATTCTATGCCTGACTTATGACCTATGGCGGTACGGTACGGGCATGAAACTAATTAGTTATTAGACGTTACGTTAGGTACCTAGGTAGGTAGGTAGGTATATAGGTATGTATCGTATCTATACGATAAAGACGATGGAGGACATCACGTTGTAGCGTTGTAGCGCAAACATTTATTTTCTCAGCCTTGTCGCGTGTAGTTGTTGGTTGTTGATAATTGATACGTATTTTCTTTTTTCTGATTGCATATCCCCATTTTTCTTTTCCCGATTTACCCCTGCTCTTTACATATTATGCTACAGCATTGTACTTGCTATCCATGCACAATGACTCTAACCCCTGCATTCATACCCCACTAAGTACTATAATCTAACCTTTAGTAGCTTAGTCAGTATCAAGAGGTATCAACGTACCAACATCTAAATCAGAAGCTCAGCCTTCCCATTCTATTCAATTTATTCCAAGCTCAACACCTACAACCTGAGCAAAGACCAACCCGTAGAAAACGTCCTGTCAATTTCCAATATTCACACCCAATATATCGATCCAATGTCCGTGTATCTAACATGATTCGACAACTTCTCGACAACTATTCATTCGTTTGTTCGTCAATTACCTACGCGTTTCTTTATTAATATTCGACGTTAGCATCTAATTCAGCTAGAATCCGTATGTTCGAGGCCACGATTAATAAATACCCTCAACCACGATATTCCCAACCAAGTTTTTATGATGCCTTCAGCGAAGCACCTAGATCACAAAATACCCCAGGTAGACGCCTTTGCGGCGCTTCTGAAGGACGCTTTAGTTCAGGCGCAGTCTGTCAAGTCGGCTACAACAATCGAGCCTCCACTCACTAAGGTCGACTTCGAGAATGTACTTGCGCAACTTCCCACTATATTTCCGTGCGCTTCACCGGATTATGTTTCGGAGAACCTAGCGTCTGAGAAGACTCGTCAGTACGCCGTCGTGGAAACGGCCGCGCGGAATGTGTTTAGCAGCTTAGTTGTTCGTAGTAAACTTCTTAATGTATCCGTGGTTTGTTACCTATTGCTGACCCTTTCCAGGCTGGGATATCAATTGATTCCCCCGAGTTCGTCCAAATCTGGAATCTCTTCGACTTCCTGTCGGTTCTGTCTGATAACGAGCAATGCGACGCTGCCCTTCTTTTCTGGCTTGTAGAAGAGCTACTCGACAGCCAAACTACCGAGGGGTGTAGGAAGATATTCGACTTTCTTGAGTCTCGAAGAGAGCAAATTATCGCACAACATTTAAACTCCAAGAAGCTGGTTATTCTCAGGTCTTGCAACGATCTTTTACGCCGACTATCGCGCGCCGAAGACACAGCATTTTGCGGTCGAGTCTTCATATTTATGTTTCAATGCTTTCCCCTAGGAGATAGGAGCTCGGTTAACTTACGTGGAGAATACCATGTCGAGAATGTTACCTCATTTGAGGAGACACCAATCCAGCCAGACGACTCAACAGATAATATGGCCGTGGATATGGAAATTGACACGACAAGAGATGGAAAAGACGAAAATAAGTCTACGGCTAAAGCGGTCTCATTCGATGGCAAGAACAAGCCAACGCCCGAGAAATCCCTCGATGCGAATGCTCTCTATCCTATATTCTGGTCGCTCCAACACTACTTCAGTCAACCCACGGTCCTCTTTGATTCTACACACTTAGCAAAGTTCAAGGCTGGTCTAGAGGCCACCATGTCTGCATTTGATACAGTCGCGAAACTCCAGAGAAGTACAAAGGGTTCTGATGAGAGCAAGATACCTCAAAAGAGAAAGCATGGCGAAGGAGATGACGATCTCCGCAGTAGCACAAATAATCCTAAGTACCTCACAAGTAGAGAGCTTTTCGAACTAGAGGTACGTGCTATATCTTACGGAACCTAGCTAGTAGAGCCATGTCTAACTATTATTTAGATGAGCGACCTATATTTCAGGCGTCACATTCTTATACAAGCATTTATCGTCTTAGAATTTCTTCTATCGCTCACTCCCCAGGCCAAGGCAAAACTTGCCAAGATCAAAGTCCAGAACAGGTCAGTAATATACGGTGACCAAAAGCTGGGAGAAGAAGATGTAAGTCCACTCATAATCATCACAGCCTAAAATTATTAACCATCCTCAGGCAAAATGGACATCGGCCATGAGGGATAGGATAGTGCTCTATATGCAAGCTGACTCTGATGGATTCTTCTTTCATCGTGTGATTGAGAGCGTAATCTCGAGAGACAAGAATTGGGCCCGGTGGAAAGTTGAAAGTTGCCCACCCATAAAGCGGGATCCCCTTTCGCCTACCGATTTCGCGGAGGGGAAGGCTAGTGCAAAGCGCATCGCAACTAATAAGAGGCTGCGCCCTGTGCCCATGGGATCACTCTCTCTGGATTTTCTAAAGGAAGAGGACAGTGAAACAGCAATGGAGAAGTTGAAAGATCCAGAAAGATGGAGACTTCCTGATCTGGGTGTCTTCAAGGAGAAGATAGAAGCGGACGACCTCGATCTCGACTTCGCGAAAAGCGAGAAGGAGAAGTCGGAGATACTTGATGCTAAAGCTAGCAAGACTTGGAGAGCTCTTAGAATTGCTCGGAGATCAAAGCTTTCCGTCTTTGACAAGATCGACGATTGGCAAAAGGTTGATGTCATCTTTCAGGAGCAGCCAAGCTCAGATGACGGTGAAGAAGAAATAACCGAAAACGACCAAATACCGGAAGACAGACGGCCAATCATTTTGACAGGACCAAGCAAAGCCGGCAAGTCGACATTACTCTCAAAGCTCTTAGAAGACCATAAGAGCGTATTCGGAAAAGTCGTCTCGCATACTACCCGAGCTCCCAAGGATGAAGAAGTCAACGGCCAGCATTACAATTTCGTAGATACCGCGGAATTCAATCATATATTAGAGAATGACTACTTTATGGAGTTCGTCGAACGAGACGGAGTCCAATACGGAACGAACCGGAAGCTAGCTGAAGCTTTAGAGGAGACCGGAAAAGTCCCCATCATCCAATTAGACTGCGAGGTAAGTCCAAATTCATTCATGTACGCTATATACCCAGATCTTACTAACCGTATTCCAGCGTGCCCAACTGGCCAAAGACAATGGCTACTCTGCGCGGATCATCTTCATCACGCCACCTAGCATCGAGGAGCTCGAGGCACGGCTAAAGAATTCCGGCATAGCAGAAGAAGACCTGGAAGGCATACTGAAGACCGCCCAGGAGGATATCGAGCACTCCAATTCTGGAGAAATTTATGATGCCATCATTACGAACGACAATTTAGACGAGACATACAAAGCCCTCGAAGAATTCATCTATGGAACCTCAGGAGAGCCGGAGGCAGAGGCAGAGATAGAAGCAGAAGTAGAGGACGTCAACGGCAAAACAAATGGCGCAGTCGCGGCCGACGATGTAGCGATGGAGGACGTGGTAAATAGCGAGGAGACACCACCGTAGGATGTCGATGGTTTCCCTCGGGAGAGTCAGCGCAATGAAGGGTAGGGGTGTAATATCTCAGTTTATGCCAACGCGAATAGGGCTTCGGGGATATGCGTTAGGTGAATATTCCACCGTCGGTGCTCACCTTTAAGTCGGTTTAGTCCCTACAAACAAAGTAGGTTGGTCATAAATAGAACGAGAAGGGGCCCGGGTTCGAATAGACATGTTATTAGTAGTCATTCAAGATACCCATGCAATTGATCCTATTATTAGGGGTTACTTTTCTTGAGATATAAAAGCGTGATCTATATATCTATTAACTGACTACATGTAACCTAACCTAGTAATTTGTAAAGTACCAGTTCCATATGTCCATGTCGTATTGGCTACCTAGGTACCTACCTAGGTTAGGTATCTAAGCAATTAAGACGAGTCATTGGTTTTAAGGTCAAACAAAGGTAGTCTACACGATAATATGACTACCTAAGAATGAGAATTATGAGGTAGGTTACTCATTCTACCAAGACCAACTTTACATTACAATTTCACATAGTTGACAATAGACAAGACTCGGAAACTAGGTTAGGTAGGTAGTTAAATACTAATCAGGGTATATTATGTCCCTAATATCTGTACCTACATACCACGAGGTCTCAAACTGTAGAGCTCATTCTTGGTATAAAGAGCATTCCAAGCCCATTTTTGGCCCCGTACCCTATGCTCCAAAAACAACGAAACGCCACGGCTATGCAGTAAAACAATGAGAGCCAGGGGACTGGCCTTTTCTATCTTGTGATATCCAGATCGGCCTATCAGACAAGTAACAAGGAGGCTATTAGGAAAGCAACTAAGGCCTCGGTGCCAAGTCCGAGACCCTGATGTCTCGGGTTAGCAGTAGCTGTCGCAACCGTTGCAGTTATGCCAGCATTAGATCGACCAACAGCGGTGATGCTGTTCAAGTTATCTGCTGTCTCGATTGCCGGCCCCTCGTTAAAGAAATCAACCAGTACGAACACGGGCTTGATACCCCACTGCTCGTTACATGTTTGAGCATGCAGACCCAAGTTGCCTGCGGTGGAGGTTGACGGGCTGTTCGTGATCGTGATATTGTCCGAATTGGGGACCATAATCGAAGCGCCGAGCAAGTTGTATGCAAAGTGATTCATGAGAGGCAGCATCCCAGCCTGGATGGCAGCGCCGGCCGAGCTCTGGGAGGATGGGCGATCGAGAGTACAGTTGAAGCCCGAGAGTGATGTTACCTCGAACGATGTCTCAAAGACATGGTCAAACTCGGATAACAGATACGGATATTGGCTATCCACCGTAATAGATGCGATGAAAGTCACCAGTCGCGTATTCGCACTGATCATTTCCTGTAACGTCGGCCATGTAGTCCCCGAATGCGCGTATCCATATGTATTGATACCCGAGCCACTGAAGACGGCCCCAAAATCGGCTGCGCTCTTGCCATCAGAGTTAACAATCAGAAGGGTCACGACTTCGTTCGGGTGAGAATCCATCCACGACTTAATGGAGGCTAGCCAAGTCTGAAGGGTCCCGGCATCGAGTAAACTGCAAGACGTATGGCATAGTTCGATGGCGCCATTCAGATCATGAACCTGGGCCTGCAACAATCGGATCCCTGCATCTAGAGCAACAGTAGCATTGAAGTACTGGTTACCAGCTATTGAATTACTCGTGCTTTCGTCTCGGAGAAAGGAAGAGTCGTGGGCTCCCATATGAGTGATATCACTATACGAGCGGCTGCATAAGTTGGGCGAGTTGTTGCAAGCGGTCGTCGAAGAGGCGGCAGAGGCGGACGCCGTCGAACTGGGGGTTACTGAAGCGAAGGAAGAGACCGAACCCCCGTATCCACCATCATAACTGCCATCCTGCGGCAGGGAATAAACCGGCACCGTCAAGGCGGCGGTGACAGTGAAGAATGTAGATAACGAAGGAAACATGTTGTCTTAGATATGTACTGGATAGTTAAAGGGGGGGGAAAGAATAACTACTATTTACTGTTCTAACAGTATATAGACAGAACAGACGACGGAATAATAGAAAAGGGGAAGAGACATATACCTACCGGACAGGAGGTAACGGGGAGTAGGTAAGTATTATCTTATACTACCTATGTATCTTAAAATACAAAGAGATCTACTTCGTATCGTATATGTTTTAAAGTTGGCCAGGAGAGAGAGAGAGGAAGAGAGCCTCGCACGAAACCCAACCATCGCAAATAAAACAGTACCATAGTAGGACAAAAGAGAAAAGATGCATTGTCCATCAAGACGATCCCTGTCCGCAGCGGGCTTCAAGAGGCTCTAGATCGACCATGAATGGTTCGTGTTTTGTGGGGTGCCCAGCTCGTGGGTCGGCAACCCGTCGACTGCGCCTCCACGGGACGCGAGGGTCGTCGAGCTTTGCGTCGTCAGCCTCTTTAAGACTTGAAACGAACCAAGGCCTTGCCGGCGCAGCTTGATGTCGTAGCAAGCCATGGCAAGCTGGCCGGTTTTGGATTTAGCTACCTAGGTACCTAAGGTAATGATTCCGATTATGCGGTACTTGGATGGCCGAAGATACCTACAAGTAGCGATTGGCCTTGTTTTCCCTCTGTGAAAGAGGCAGTAACAGAAGGAAGAAAAAAAGGTGGTAGGAATAAAAAGTTGAATGGTTGGTATTGTTTGTATAACCTGTATTAGGTACCTCTTATGTAATGTATGTACCTATGTATGCACTTAAGTGGCTTGTGCAACCTACGAGTTGTACACAAATGGAACCCTGCTACTTGCATACATAGGTATATAGTACATACTGCAGCGGCATTACGTAGTTGTACCTCGCCCCTGTCCTATTTTTATCTTTTCCCTGATCTGCAATTTTCCCATTGGACGACTTCTCCATATTCAGGGTCCCAACCGTCCGGGACCCGTCAAACCACGCAAGCCTCAGCCCCCAGGTATGTATGTTGCCGCGCAAGTTCTCATCGTAAAGACGGCTCCGTACGTAATGATAGTTATCCGTTGGCTATTATGCATTTTCTACGCCATGGGCAAACTATTGAAGATAGCGTAACTTGGATCAATTAATATAACTAAAGATAATCCGGAGTGGGTGTTGGCATTTCTGAACCATTAACTCAGATACCCTTTCAGTGTAGTGGTTTATCCTGGTAATATAAAATACGTTTAATCTCCAGGCCAAGTCTCAAGTAAACTCAAAGGGGGTTATTAAATCATTCTGTTCCGTACTAACCTTAAGAGATCTTTCAAAAAGCACCATACGTCAAGGGAGCAAGCAAAAACATTACAATCTAAATACCTCTATTAAACCATATTGGTATTCCTAGCCAATTCGCCCGTATGCTTATCGTTACAGCCACAATAAACCCGCAGGCGTCAAGGTTTACCTTGAGCTTATCACGTCCTTATGCTTTTCGTCATCGAAAACCTATTTCACCGCCAAGATATAGTCAAGGCAACACAATTACTCCGGATCGTCCGCATACGACTCTAGTGCCGCTTGTTCTTCCATCTCTTTCAGATGTTTTTGTCCTGCCTCCGTAGTGGCATCTATTATTTGTTCCTCCACGCTCAGGATTCCAGCCTGTAAATTTGTTAGTAAGCCGTCGTACATATATTTTGACAATGGATAAGACATCTTACTTCGCTGAGAAGGGCAACGATTTCCTCGGCATCTTCAACCTTCAATTTGCCCAGCACTTCGTTCACCTTATCCAAACTGCCAGATTCTAAGGCCTTTTGCATTTCCGGGATGAATCCTTCGAAAATCTCGCGGCCTTTCTTCTCGGCTTCGTCCTCTCCTTTAACAGATGGGATCCTAATCTTGATTTCGGTGCCCGGCTCCACAGCGTGCAATTGGATTTGTTCCACTCCTTCTCCAGATCCACCTTCAGCTTCTCGCTGAGCATTAATTTCAACCGCACGGTTCTTGATCCTGTAGTACGTATCTTGTACATCTTTATAGAAGACGTCCTGCGCTTGGTGACCTTTGGTAGTGATGCGTTTGAAGAAGAGCGAAACGCCGTCCTTACCTAACGCGCGACAATACTGTAACAGAAGAGCTTGGTGGACGCATTGTCGTGCGAAATCATCCTTCCCTTCCAGTTGGGCATCAAATGCCATGATTAGGATACCGTCGGTTTCCTTCTCGGTTAAAATGTGTGGGTGTGTACCAATGAAGGAATGGCTCTCTCGATAGTCGGACGCCTTTATTTTAGCGAACTTTTGAGCATCAGGCGACGCCGTGATCTCCTTGTCATCGTCGTCGTCTTCCATGGTTGAAGATTTCGACTCTTCCGGCTTAGACTGCGAGAAGCTGGGGTTAAGAAGTTCCACTTTGGAGTCGTCGGGTTTCTTTGCCCCGGATGTAGAGGGTGTAGACTTGGTGACATGTGAACTATCAAACCCCGTGTGGATGCCATCGCTTGTAATCTTGCGGCTTTCTTCCTTCTCCAGTTCTGCCAATTTGCTTAATAGTTGCTGTTGTAAGTCCTGAACCTTGTTTAGATGTACACCGATTTTATCCACCATGGCATTGTAACGGTTCTCGGGTTTCTTCTCGTCGAGCTCCTTGTTGACTTGGTCTAGTAAAGTCGCCATCATTTTCGTATATGTGGGAGGCTGCTCTTCTTGCGCGTGGACACCCTGGGGTCGAGCGGGTGGCTTGTCGTCCTCTGGTCTACCGGCAGACTCCATGACAGCTTGGAAAGCGACCTCGGCAGGGTTCCGGGTCTCTGCCTCGGCAGCATGAGCTTTCAGGGCGTTTAAGAGGCTCGATATTCTCTCCAATAACCCATCGTTGATTTGACGTTCGTATTTTAAGGTTTCAATCTGGAGCTTACGTTGCTGTCGCTCCATGTGAATTTGGTTCTGCTTGGCGCGAATGAAGGAGCGTTTGTCGACATTGGGATGGACTTCGATATCGGAGTCATCGCTGAGCTCCAGAGCGTCCTAAGAAGATGATATATATATTAGCTTCATTGGAGGCTCCCAGGTTCTCTCGCGAGACACGAGGTAAGATAGCTTCATGTACTTACCCACTTGCTATAATCCACAGGCATTTTGATGGAGGTATATAGCTAGGTATCTAAAAGGTAGTTTCCTCCCGCGATATCCAGGAATTGCAAGTTGGAAAGATATAAGAGACAATTCGTAAACAGAATCTCTGTAGACAGAAGCTCTTGTATGTAAAGTTGGAATATTTACCCCGCGATCCGCGATTGGGGATTTATTGATTGGGGGGGGGTTTATCGTTATCGAGAATGTTCTTGCAACCTCTCTGCCTCAGGGCTGTCCACTAACCTAGGTTAGGTAGATACATACCTAAGATCCACTGTTCAACCTAACCCAGCCCCACCAGTCACTTTACAGAAGTACCAGGTACCTTTTTTATACTATGTACAGCAATTCAGGGGTTCCATAGGCATTGATCAACTTTACATACCTACCTATGTAACAATTCCCTTATTCTTTTACATGCCAAAACAATAATTCCTTAGTATTTGAGATTTTCTTATTATTTCTAATTAATAGGTACAATCAACAATGAGATCATACCCAGTTTTGGGAATAGCATACCCTCCACAGCTGCATCAGGAGCCAATCTCATAAGCAGCTTTGCAGTGTGGCTAATTCCTTCGCTGAGTTCTTCATCTCAGGGATCTCAAACGGCCCTTAAAAGTTTGCATGACAAATGTACGACTGGAGATCAAAGCCGCCCTCGTGTAGATTCTCCAGATCCGTGGACACAAAAATCCGGCCGTTCTCGATCACTTCGCCCTCATCTGTGGTGATCTTGCAGACTTCCATGCGATAAGCATCGGTCTCGTATCTACGGAGCGAGCCCACGTATTCCGGGGACTCGCACTTCCAGCACATGCCCTTCACCTCGTTGCCTTCCGCGGGAACTAAAGCGGGAAAGGAACCCCACATCATGGCTAAAGCGTCTCGAGTTAGCAGTTGTTATCGTGTACGAACGGGTGTGATATTTACTTACTTCTCCAACCCTTGATGGACGCCGGGATTAGGGTTGGGTTCTCATCATCTAGGTCGCACACGCTTACTAGAGTTTTCTTAGCCTGGAGCGAGCCGTAGAAAAAGAAATAGAACGGTTCAAATGTCACGGAGGGATGGTTTATAACGTCTTTGCTGACTGGGTACGCCCGGGTGAGCTTCTGTGCTAAGTCCGCGAGGACAGGGCCAGTTGCTTCAGTACGGAAGCCGCAGAGCTCTACGAACTCTCGATTTTTGGCGTCCGTGTCACTGATTTCGGAGACCGCAGTCTTGTCAGTAGTCGGTTTCATGCAAGCCATGACGGACGTTTGTTGTATCTTGATTTCTTGCTGTGAACTTTGTGGGAAATAGGAGTTTAGTATGAACGTAGTGTATGAAGGGGTTTTCGTAAGCTGTCAAGTTGCTGTATATGCAGTGCTTGTATAGACATCTTATTCAGAATATCCAATGGTTTATATAGACATCGGAGGAAGACCATACCTAAGAAAGGAAGTGTTCTTAAAAACAAGTTTGTTTGACACAAAGGGGGGGAAGCAAAGTGCTCGTTCTCGCTTGTAAACATCTTAAGCCTTCCATGTGCGAATGACTAACTCCTACAGCCTTGTTTCTGGAAAGCGACACGGTAAAGAAAGTAGCCAGAGAGTGGACATCAATGTCTTTGCCGACAATCAATTTTCTGTACTACGTTTTTGACACTGCATATTAGGAGGGCATTCAACGTCACATAACAAACCGAAAAGGGCCTTTCTCTGGAAAGCCAACGAAGAAATATTGTTGATACTATTCAACTGTTAGCCTAGGACATGCATACGACCATACAAGTAAACCCCGATTTATGACTTACATGGGATAGGGGTGGAGTGGAATCCCACCTCCTAGCAGAGAAGTAATTCATGTTCTGTCTGATATTTCGTGAAACAAAAAGCACCGCTGCCAACATGTAAATATCATTATCAAAATCTGGACCAAAAGGGGTCAAGACGTAGGGACATAGTCTTGACAACTGCTATAGATGAATATAATATCCTACTATACGCAAGTAAAATATAATGTAGTTTCACGTAAACATAAATTGATAGTCAAAACCAGACCGTACCTAAGTAGGTAGCTTTATATAACCATGTTCTACCCTTAATACTTTACATATTCCAACCAGCGTGCGTTCAACCCGCGCTTATACCACGCAAGCTTTCCATAGCACCAATACCGACGCATATACAAGCTCCCATACGTACATCACGCCTAAGCATGGCCAGAAATCTGCTTCGGCTGGTACAGCTCTTCCAAGTACTTCTCCTCCTCATCCGTCAGGGCCTTGCCCTTCGCACCAAGGGCCTCGTCGATCCGAGCTATGCTCGAGAAGCCGATGATGGGGCTAGAGACTCGTTTGTTGATCCAGGCGAGCGCTACATGCGACATCTTCCAGCCTCGCTTATCGGCGATCTCCTGCACACGCTTGATGATGGTTAGGTCGGGCTCGACGGTCCCGTGCGAACCCGGCGAGGTGTCCTTCTCGAGCTTGCTGCGCTCCGTGGAGCCGAAGTCCGCGGGCGCGCGCGCGAGGTGACCGCGGCATAGCGGCGCCCAGGGGATCAGGCCGACGCCGGTGTCGTTGCAGAAGCGGTTCATCTCACGCTCCTCCTCGCGATACAGCAGGTTATAGTGATTCTGCATGGAAATGAACTTAGTCCAGCCGTTCTTCTCCGCGACGAACTGCATCCGCGCGAAGTTAACCGCCCACATCGAGCTAGCCCCTATATAGCGCACCTTGCCCGACTGAACGAGGTCGTCGAGCGCCTTCATGGTCTCTTCGATAGGAGTGTTGGGGTCGAAGCGGTGGATCTGGAGTAGGTCGATGTACTCCGTGTCTAGGCGCTTCAGGGAAGCGTTCACGGCGTTGAAGATGGCGGCGCGGGATAGCCCGTACTGGTTGACGTAGTCCTTGGAGCTGTTGACGGCTTCCCCGCAGACGTAATGACGGACGTCAGGGGTTTCACCGACGGCCCAGAAGCACTTGGTTGCGATGATGACCTTCTCTCGCGGAATATTGTATTTCTTGAGAGCTTTCCCCACGATAACTTCGCTGGCGCCTTGAGAGTAGACATTAGCTGTGTCCCAGGTGTTTAAGCCTTTATCGTAGGCGGCCTTAAGTAGAGGCAGAGCCTGTAGTATAATGTTAGCGGAGCCATAGATGGATAGTAACTGGTTATTCGTCTAATGTCACTTGCATCTGCTTCGTCGAGAGCCCATGATTGCGCTTTAGTATCACCAAAACTCATGCACCCGAATATAGGGACTGATATCTTTAGACCACTGGTACCGAGTCGACGGTATTCGACTTTGGTGTTGTCTAGAGACTCCTTTAAAGATAAGGGAAGGGTAGTAGTAGACATAGTGAATATGATCAAAGCTCGAGCAGTATAACAGGTCAGGATGTTTTAGCAAATGTTAATTGATGGTGAGAAGCAGTCGATGCTCCTTTCTAGCCGATCTTAGGTATTATATACCTAACGTATATAGTATATAATATAAATATTAAAGGTTACTTTGATATGCTCCAGTTACCCTCCATTCTGGCTGAACTCCAAATTCCCCTCCCCCGGACACTAACCGGAAGTACGGTCCTTTGTACGGCATAACTGTAACATGGCGGGGTTAACGCCAATAAGGTGAAGTTATCACCAATCTCCATTAGGGTTTAGGGTGAAGTACTCAGAGGTCTATGATATTTACAATGCATTGATGTATGGGTCGTATTTCTTACGAGTCTCTAGACTGATAAAAAGTAGCACACTCCACACCCCATATATCAAGACTATATCTTTTTACGAACCACGAACATTATATGATTATTATGTATCAATATTTACTAGCCCATCTCATTACCTAAATCACATCACGTATATATGTCTATCTCCGTCTTGCTTTCATTAACCCGCTACACGTCCCGATTAGTCGTTATTCAACCCCGGCCCCGTATTAACAGGTATGTATTTATCGTGGATCTACTGAAGTTGCGCAGAGATCGATCGTGATATTATTGTACGGGTTCTTGTATCCCTGCATACCGGTCAGCACTAAAGCACTTTCAAATACATTTTTATACATATAAATATATGTATATTGTATATTATATATTGTATATTGTATATTGTATATTGTATATTGTATATTGTATATTGTATATTGTATATGGGCTGTCTATGAACTTACAATCGACTGACAACATCCCGTGATATTATATACGAATAAGTTGCATTCCCAGATCGGATCCGTTGCACCCATTTGATGCGCCGTGACGCCTGGAGAATACATTAGCACGTGCGCTTATCTTTCTTCGTAGGGTATAAAATAGTGTCGCGTAATGCGAAACTCACAGTTTGTTCCGACTTGACCGTCGATGTTCATGCAGCACTTCGGGTAATATCCCCACTCCTCTCGAGTATGGCAACTGAAGATTCCTTGCGACGCCGCCAAGTGAGAGAAGAGGGCGGTGACAAGTAATGTTGTTCCGGACTTGAAATACATGTTTGTGGTATTGCTCTTAGACTCGAAGCTCTAACCTAACCTAGGTTATCAAATATTGTTATTAAATATTAGATGCAGAGTTGACTGATGACTGAATTATATGATAATATGATTGATATCCAAACAATATCTTCAACGAGAAACTTAACTTATATTTATAGTCGCCATCGGTAGTTAATAGACCTGAGCAGCGCCACCGCAATGGGTGTTGTTGCTTCCCGTCTCTACGGGCGCAGTTCGCTTGCCCTATGTCACAAGGAAGACGGCCTTAGAATCCCCCACAGCCGATGGGCGGTGAAGTATCTAGGTATACTTGATACGAGGTTCAAGCTGAAGAGCGAGGTCCTGAAGAGTACGACGGCCCAATGATCATCGAGATGAGATTGCCTTATGATCCACTCCTCCGATGCTGACAGTAAGCTACCGAGCCCGATGGTTGGATCATGATTTGCCATGGCAGCGTGGTTGCCGAACCGAAGATCCTACCTACTTTGTAGTCTAGCTGTCTGGATATCTGGCAACTGTATCTGCCCATCATAAGAAAGTATCATGACATGGTTCACGCTGCGTTGTTCATGGCTGTCACGTAATTCCAACCAATAGGGATGACTTTTCACATAAGGCTGCATCTCGAACGACCAGAAAGAATATGCCAGAAATAACTCGAATACATAGCTGGAGAATACTGTACCGTATAAGCCTAATGGCGAGTTAGGATGGTTCTCGGATAAGTTACAACTACGTCTTTGGCGAACGCATCTCGCTTACAGCCACACCGAAATGATTACCTTTAGCGACAGATGTATTTTAGGTATATACGAGCATGCGCCGCAGCGCACGGAGCCGCCATTGACGAGAACACGCCCGCTTACCAATAATTTCTCTAATACCATGTGCTATAGAGCCCAAGGTGTCTGAGTGGCACAGGGCTATATGTTAGTGAATTGCTCGCATCGAATTCAAGAAGCAAATCAATCAAAGGGTATCATTCATTCATAAAACGTAACGTAACCAACGGCCAAAAATGACCGGCATGATAACAATCCATAAACGAGACGTGTCATCCTTAGTCGATGAACTCCCCTAAACCTCCTCGTCGGATAAGGACGTAGCCGCCTCTTCGTCGATTGCTTCGCCCTCAACTAGGTTACGACCGTCGTTTCTAGCCGCTAGGACCCGGGCATATTTGTTATCAGGTCTTGAACCGGCGTACATGCTAGGAGTCATGAGCACTGGCGGGGCACTCGCTTCTTGACTGGTATATGTAGCCTTTAAATACGCTAGTTGCTTGCCCGCGATATACCACACAAATTTCGGGAATTTGCTGTAGTACATCTTAAAGGCAAACGATGCCTTTAGTAGATCCCAGCTCGAAAAGCCGATCCTAGCTTGGCCTTCTTGTAATAGTAGAGATCTGACCGTCTCTGACTTCACTTTGTCTGTCGGTTCGATTTCTTGCCATTTGTCATAAATACCGGCAAGCTTGGCGTCCCATTCGCCGCGAGACTTCGGCCATTCTTGGGCAACGGCATCAATATCCCTCCTGAGCTTTTCTAGAATCCTTTCCCAAGTCTGCTTTTTTACGGCCTCTTTACGCTCGTTGAATGGTCTTTGGAGCTTTTCATAATATTGATAATACCTTACGAGGTCCTTATCAAAATTCTCTGCTTGATTAAGAGATTCATAGAATGTCTTTAGCTCTCTCTCGACTATAGGCTGACCAACGCAAAATTTCACGTAGTCGATTATATGTGTGGGCCTGCCTTGACCACTCCAGTTATTCTTCTTGTACTGGGGATCTGGTGGGTCGATTTTGCTCAGGTTTTTGCGCAGCCGGGCCCAGTCTTGGTCCGTGAAGATAATGCCTTGCTTGGCCCGGTCTACTAAATTGCTAATAAGCGTGCTCAAGAGGATCGCGGGTTCGTCTTGGACTGAATTTCGGGCGTAGCATAACTTGTCTTTGTAGTTCGTGCACATGCCAAGCAGGTTCTGTTCCAAGTTGAACTTAAATGCTCTTAGAAGAAACTCTGAGGTAATATCATCGGTTGCCACAAGTTCGTTATACTTTAGGGTCTCCTTGCGTATGACGCCTTGCTTGAATAGGTCTGGGGCGTTAGGCATGTCTGCGTTACGAAAGTTATTCACTATTGTCGGTTCCCAACATACCCAGGCAATATCGCCATCGTAATCACCACCAGAGAGCTTATCTGCAAGGGGTATGTCACCCTTTGTCGAGAAAATGATGACGTCTTTCAACGAGCCTAACTCGGGTTTGAAAACTGCTTTGACTCTTTGGATATCGCTGGGATAATGCGCAGGTGTACGAGCAACTAGGACGTCAAATCCATGGAGGAAGGTTTCGGAAAACCCGGACTGTTCGTCGGTAAATTTGGAGGAGAATCCAAGGTGAACTTCATCTTCCTCCAAAATCCCGAGGAAATCAACAACCATATATGCGTAAGTAGAACGCCCAACTCTTACATTGAGCCGCTCTTGGAGTTCCTGGCATTTTTCCATTCGTAACTTCCAAGCAATGTCGCTCAGAAACTTCAGTTTAGTGGGGTCAAACCCGCTATCTAGAAGAAAGGCCATAATATCCTCTCGGCTATTTGGGAGACCAGCCGTGAACGGCACCTGGCAATGTTTTGTACGCTCCGCCCGACGGCTTGACGGGGAGTTTTCGTGGACCCAGAGTCTAAACTGGGTAGGGCTCTGCATAGCGGCCTTTTGGGCATCGAGGTCTCTCATGAGGCTGTCTCTCATGAAGTTTCCAACCTGGATCTTCATTTGAGCTGCATTGATGGCCCGGTCTTCAAGAATAGGCAGAAACTGTAAATTGAGATCGGCAGATTTAAGCTCTCTGGATTCGTTGCGAACCTCGAAAGTCCGGTGATCGTCCTCGATGTAATCGCATTTCCACTTACGCTGAGACGGAGCTGTTTCTATCCATATCGCATCACTGGTATCATTGGTATCTCGGAGCCAAACACCTTTTGCACTGCCGAATCGGCCTTGAAAAGCTGCTGGTACATCTTGCAAACCCATCATATCACGTACGGCTCGCGCAAGGCCATAAGACATACGGGCAATGCCGTCATTCATAACCTTTTTGGCGGGTGATAAGATGTCATTGGGTCGGTGTCGAATCTGTTCGGGCTGGACAATAATAGTCGGATGCGTACGACTTAGACCTAAATGCTCTTAGTAATGTTTTGATACGAAGCTATAGATGTTGACTGATCATACCTAGCGCGATACGTGAAAAGAGCTTCAGTACTGACTGGTCCTGATTATTGGGGGTTTGTAAGAGCCACTCGATAAGATCTCCTCGTCTCATCTTGCTATGCATTCCCCCTGGCTCACCCTTTGGTGAACAATGTTCTTCTGCTCCTAGACGGCGAAAATCGTTACCGTCTTCAGCGAAAAGGTATATCCGCTCTTGATGTATTGTTTTCGACTGAGGCCCCAGGGTGTTCTCGTTAGTAATCTTTTTGGGCAAGGCTGATTTGAGATAGAACGGGGCCCATACGCGGCCAAGCAGCACGTGCGATCCATTGACTAGCCACTGCTGGATACTCTCTATAGCGGATTCACCGAAGTTTCTTACATCCTGGGAACCTAGAGATGGTATCACAAGTTCAAGGAAACGGTCTGATCCAAATCTACGACTTAGACGATGAGGGAGATCCAACTTTAGAGGATTAAGCCTAAGAAGGAACAAAGGCCCATTTTTTGACGTATTCGCCGTGAGCGAGGCGGTAAGCACAACCGCTTGATCTCTAGTACCGAATTTATCATTTAGGGCGGCAGTCCAGGCTTCAGGTCGGGACTTTTCAGGAAAGGACTTGCCACGGAATACAGGTAAAGCTTGAAGCCTCGCCCATAGTGTCCTTTGGTCAGTCCATGCTGGATCGTATTCAATACGCAGGTCCTGCACTTGTACGTCACAGTGAAGAGCAATTCGTAGAATTTCCCAGCGAACCACGAACGGGGCACGATCATAGTGATCGGGGAGGTGGGCTAGCAGGGGTTAACTGTAATT